GTTTGGTTTGCCAGAAAGGATGCAGGAAAGAAAAGGGAAATAAAATTTAAACTATTTTCTTTTCCATTAGCCTACTTGCCTACACATATGGCTCTCTCTCACCTGCACATGGACATAGCGACAACCCCTATCCATAGTTTAGCATATCTCTTTGAAGTTGAGTTGGCCACCATATTTTTGAACTACAGAGTTGGTCCAATTGAGAGTGTTCATGGTCATGTGAATCATAATGATTAGAAGAAAGTAGTATCTGGAATCCAAACTGGGTATTTCCAGAATGAAATAGCTGTTGATTTTGAGGTGCGATTTCTATGTTGTGGGACTGAACACTCTGCTATTCGTAGTCCTGGAGCCTGGGTAATAAAAACAAGACCTTATTTTTTTACTCTTGTGCTCGGTGGTGTGATTGATATTTGCTTTAGCAACCGCAGTGGCTAATTAGCTCCATCATGTGTCATTCTTTGTTTGGCCAAATTTGTTGTTCATCATTCTAACTTTTGTACTAACGTTCCTGCTCCTTGTATGTTTTCGCACGCCAGGTCTAGTGTGGTTTCCAAGGATTGGTTTTAGGTATCAAATGATCGAACAACCAATGGTAATAGATTAATGTGTTACATCTTTTCAAACTGGAGCCTGCCATAGTAATGGCAGATTATATTCAAGACAAAGGATTTAGTATTCCCTGCACCTTCTTTCAATAGACTCGCACATATATAAAGATTCATCAGTCTTTATGGGCCCTTCTCTGGTGAAATGGTTCTAACCTATGTGCGATTATCATAGAAATAATTTGCACTTTGTTTCATCTGAATGCTAGTTCAGTGTTCTTTCCCTCCTCTCCCCTCCCCTCTCTTGTCCTCCCCTTTTCCATCTACTTTCTCCTGAAAAGGAATATTTTTAAGGCGACCCATGAAGCAGATTTAGAAGTGTGATTTCAGAAGTCAACATTTGCTTTTGATCATATTTGCAGTTTTCACCTATTTCTCTTCTAGTTAGTTTTGTTCTTTGTGAATATTCTTCAGTCATTGCCACGCTTTTGATCTTTCCTGTTTTTTCAGGTGATTCACATACCAATAATAATGGAAGCTAAGTTCTTTCGCTTTCTTAAGATTGTCGGTGTTGGTTTCAAAGCCAGAGCTGAATTAGAAGGTCGGCTCTTGTATCTCAAGCTGGGATACAGCCATGAGGTTGAACTTACTGTGCCTCCAGCTGTTCGTGTGTTTTGCTTCAAACCCAATATAGTTTGCTGCACTGGAATTGACAAACAAAGGGTACACCAGTTTGCTGCTGCTGTTCGAAGTTGTAAGCCTCCTGAAGTTTACAAAGGCAAGGGTATAATGTATATTGATGAAGTTATCAAGAAGAAGCAGGGAAAGAAGTCCAAATGATTGCAGAGGTGCATAAATTTGAGCCTAGATTGTTTTATCTTATTTATTAGGACATCGAGGATCATATTCATGAAACTTGAGCTTAATGTGTGCACTTGGATTAGACCATTATTTCCATCTTGAAACTTTGTAATCAGAATTTTGCTTCCATTTTTAGTCTTTTTATCATTATTATTATTACTGCAGTGCACACTACAAGATACGGATATTTCGATGAGATTAATGTATTTGTATCAAATATCATATTAGATACGATATTCGTCGATATTGAAGGATATATATTGGATACACTTCTTATGTATCTGATAATAATAAAATATTTAGATTTTTTTTAGTGCGTAATATTTAGATATTTTGCGGATATTTTTGTAATGCAGCAATATGTATGATTTTTGAATTTAATTTTTAAACATGTTTTTTCGAATTCAAATATTATATAGTACATTAACACAAAATCATGAGTTTTTTTACGTTTTATTTATTATTACATATTAAAAGAGTATAAAATAAAACTATTTATATTTTTAGCAAAAAATACTTTTAAGCAAGTCAACTAATTAAATAGTAGTTTTAATTCTTTTAATTCGTCAATTCATGGTGAATTTACCATAATGATATGATATATACTTTTTTGAAATTAAAGAAATTGTTACAATTTTGCTTATTATGTTAAAGAATCATCAAAATAAATAATTATTAAGCTGGCAAATAATAATAATAATAATATAAAATATATTTTATTATAGATAAATTCTAGTCGTATATATATCCTATGTTTTAAAATTTTATCATATTGTATTCAGATCCCCATATCTGTATCCATATTTCATAGATGCACAACATATGATTTGTCATTTTTATTTTTCTTAGAATCATGTGATTACATTTATCATTGTATCTCCATAGAACGTTATGTCTGAAATATTTATAATATAAAACATGACAGACTATTCATTCGACAGGTTTCAAATAGACTTATTCAACGACGATCAACATCTTTCTCAAGAATCTAAGTTTATATTACACTATATTTTTAGATACAAATTACCCATAGTCAGAATTATATGTCAAGTCCCTTGAGGAATGAGGCAGCCTTTGAAGTAACTGTTGTTTGTGGTGTTTCAAATATAATAAAATCACCAATTGATATTTCTAACATTATGTAACTTAAAGTAAAGCAAAATAGTAATAATGAAATACAAAATAGTTACACAGAACAGTAACAGTTACACGAAACTGTTTATCAAAACAAAATAAATACTAACTCGGTTGCAGAACAGGAACTGTTATTAAATTTTAGGTAGATCGAGACTAATGTTTGACACTATGTCCTTAAGACATATTTCACTCCCAGACACGGTGCTTATGGAATATTAAGCATTTATCTTTCAGGATACAATGATATTTCACGAGCAGAAGTAACACTCCAATCTACTCGTACGATGAACCAAAACTTATGTTGTGTGCTCTGTAAATTCACTGCCTTAATACCGAAAATGTTATGCACTAACGTATGACTTAACTCTGTATGGGGACTGATGTATGTAAATGAATTGAATTCGAATGGAAATGAACCTAGATATTTATAGGCATTTTGGTGACTTTTAGGACAGTCATCACACTAAAAGACACAATCTGGAAGATGAAATGCTATAGCCAAAAGACACCTTGATTAACTATTCTCCATGAACAGACACACCTTAAAATTTCGGACTGGACTCAAAGCTTCAGATAAATTCGAACTAGTGCAATTAATTAAAAGGATGCCGAAAATTAAATTCGGATTAAGAAATTCTCACCTATTAATTAAATGAATTTTATCCAAAAAGATAGGGATTGGTTTAACCCACACCCGAGCCCCGCCGGGTCGAGTCGTGACAAGGCGGGCGGCGCGTGTGGTCGAATCGAAGGCATGTAAGCGCTGNTATTTATAATATAAAACATGACAGACTATTCATTCGACAGGTTTCAAATAGACTTATTCAACGACGATCAACATCTTTCTCAAGAATCTAAGTTTATATTACACTATATTTTTAGATACAAATTACCCATAGTCAGAATTATATGTCAAGTCCCTTGAGGAATGAGGCAGCCTTTGAAGTAACTGTTGTTTGTGGTGTTTCAAATATAATAAAATCACCAATTGATATTTCTAACATTATGTAACTTAAAGTAAAGCAAAATAGTAATAATGAAATACAAAATAGTTACACAGAACAGTAACAGTTACACGAAACTGTTTATCAAAACAAAATAAATACTAACTCGGTTGCAGAACAGGAACTGTTATTAAATTTTAGGTAGATCGAGACTAATGTTTGACACTATGTCCTTAAGACATATTTCACTCCCAGACACGGTGCTTATGGAATATTAAGCATTTATCTTTCAGGATACAATGATATTTCACGAGCAGAAGTAACACTCCAATCTACTCGTACGATGAACCAAAACTTATGTTGTGTGCTCTGTAAATTCACTGCCTTAATACCGAAAATGTTATGCACTAACGTATGACTTAACTCTGTATGGGGACTGATGTATGTAAATGAATTGAATTCGAATGGAAATGAACCTAGATATTTATAGGCATTTTGGTGACTTTTAGGACAGTCATCACACTAAAAGACACAATCTGGAAGATGAAATGCTATAGCCAAAAGACACCTTGATTAACTATTCTCCATGAACAGACACACCTTAAAATTTCGGACTGGACTCAAAGCTTCAGATAAATTCGAACTAGTGCAATTAATTAAAAGGATGCCGAAAATTAAATTCGGATTAAGAAATTCTCACCTATTAATTAAATGAATTTTATCCAAAAAGATAGGGATTGGTTTAACCCACACCCGAGCCCCGCCGGGTCGAGTCGTGACAAGGCGGGCGGCGCGTGTGGTCGAATCGAAGGCATGTAAGCGCTGGCTCCGCTCATAAAATTGTGGTATCCCTTGAGGCCCAATCACAGAGCAAACTTGACTTATATATGCCCATGTTGAATTTCTTCTTTAGCCAATGTGAGATTGATGTCACATCCCACATTGCACTTTCTTTTATTTTCACATTTCAAGAGGTTTACTTTAAAGGTTATTTTCTCATTCATTTCTTACTCGATTTGAGCAAGTGCATATACTACATTATTTTCCTCATGGAGTAGAATATGAACTCATGAAAATTTATTCAAAATAACTAATGGATCTCACTTTAATTTAAATTCAAAATCAACCAAAAATTTAATTTTTACACATAAAAAACTATTTTGATCCAACAAAAAGGAACCTGCTAGTCTGCTGCTATGATCTCTTTTGTGGGGGTGATGCTGTACTGTNGACAGCCACAGCGATTAATATTTAAAAGGAACCAGCTAGTCTGCAGCTATGATCTCTTTTGTGGGGGTGATGCTGTACTGTCTAAAAAATGGTATCTAAAAAAGGGACTGAATGACGTGTGCAAATTTCGAATTTTAAATTAGTAAAAGCATCACGATATTAGGGTTACTTTACTTGTTTCTTATTTTTTGTTTAGCCCCTGTACCTTGGAAACCTTACAATGCTGGCCAAGTTGATCAATGTCACACACTCATGGTTCAAGTGATCGTGGAGAAAAAATTATACTATGAAAGTGTATAATTTTTTTTTAAAATTAATCATATAATGCTTGAACGTGTTTTATGTCGACTTTTAATATCAATGCGTTTGGAATATTTATGACATGAATCTAATTATAATCAATCTTATTTTATAATAAATACGAAATTAGTAAATACAAATATACATGCATGCGGAATGTAGATGTTGCGATTTGTCACCTTTTGAAAAATAATATGCAATATATTTTTTTTTGGAGATTTTAGAATAATTAATTACTAGCGTCACATTAGAACAGATTCAGTGTGGTTTTGAACATATGAGTTAATATATACCTAAATTGATAAAACAAATTGGTAAGAGCTATTGTTATAAGAACTCACATCAAACATGTAACGAAACACTATCAAGTGGCAAGTTGTATTGTAATTTGTGTTGCTTTTTTTTTTATCGCTCAAACTCGTGACTCATCCATCAGCCCATTGTATGGAAACGGANATCGCTCAAACTCGTGACCAATAGTACCACCACCCCTGAGCTAGAACACGCGCTGCACGATGACTAGGCTCTCTTTAGTGATAGAGAAAATTACGCCTACACTCGTTTGTCATTTTATTACTTAAATTCTTTGACATTTAAAATATTATATATAAATTTTCTAAAATTTATATGTGAATAATATTTATGCCCCAAATATGAAACATTAATAAATTATACTTAGACCTCCTATAATTTATAAAAATATAATATTTAGACCCCTTAAATTTAAAATATTATACTTAGACAAAAAATACTTTAGTGAAAGATAAAATATCAAATATTTTAAATTTTATAACTAAAATTCATGTTCTATTTATTGAAATAAAATTAAAATTAAAAATTTAATTTTTTTTCTTAAAAAATTGTAATTAGGATACAATAGAATATAAATTTTGGATGTAAAATTCATGTTCTATTATGAATGACTTAGATCCCTTGTTTGATTTTTTAGATAGTATAATTGTATACTAATTATATTTTTTAATAAAAAATTAAAATTAAAATTTTAATTTTAATTTTATTTCAATAAATGTTACAATAGAATATGAATTTTGATTAGAAAATTAAAAACATTTGATATTTTATTTTTGATTGAAATATTTTTTGTCTAAATATTATATACCTATAAACTTTAAAGGGTCTAAGTATAATTTAATAACTAATATATTTATAGTATGGGCTAAGTGTCGAGTGTTATGCGCGTACAAACCTTAAAGAATTTGTGTGTAATATTTCAAATATTAGGGAATGTGAATGATTAAGTGACAAATTTCCGTGCGTCAAGATGTAATTCTTCCTCGGCTATATATATATATATAATAAAACAGAAAGTGTGTTTGAATTTTATCCTAGTCATATTTTTCCTTTCAAAACCATCACCAATCACTTACCTCACCTATCATCTATTTGTCAGACTCAAACGTCAAATCACATCACTCATTTCTATCATATATTTAATCATTTATATATACTTTTTCCTTAAAAATATCACATCACTCATTTCTATTATATATATAATCATTTAATAGTTAATTAATTTTTAGTTAATATATTTTTAAAAAATTTAATATAATGGGTTCGATTTTTTGAACGTTCGAATTTTATATTTTATCGTAATTCAGTCACGGGTTATGAT